CTGATTTTAAATAGGAAATTTCTCGAAAGCATATCTGATAGAATTATTAAAGATTTTGATCCTGAAGATATCTGGCATCTTCAGAAAATTAATTTCAACAGACAGACGGATATGGCACATATGGACTCTGCTATCTATAAGGATCGAGAATACATATTCTTTATAGGGTCTGACAATTATATAGCGGAAATTACAAATGGAATGACTACTCTCATAAAGGTGAAGGGTATAAAAACAAATATGAAAAGAGTAGAGTATTCTATGACATTCCGCAAACAGACGTCGATTCTTTGGATCTAACCGATTTTATTGGAACTGTATAGACTATATCTTCAACATATTCCCACAAAAATATAATCCCCTGATTAACTGAATTTTATGAATGTATGCAGTTGAACCCATACATACATATGTATGTCGGTGATATTCATAATCACCGTTCATATTTTATCATCTATCGGTTGTGTTGAATTCGAATATTGTAACCTTACTTTTACAGATCGCTTATATTCATTGCGATTTCTCTAATATTTTAAAGCAATTTCTAAGCAAAATTTTATTTAATGAGGTTAGGTTTCACAGACTGCATACTGCCAGGAGTTAAGCTTTACTTGGGTCCTATGGGTACCTTTGTATTGGCTGTAAAGAATAGTAAGAGAGAGAGAGAGAGAAAGAGAGAAAAAGGTGGAGGAGAAGCATTAAGGAGATAGTCTATAAGAAGTTAATTAAGAAGACAGCAGTAAACAGAAATTAAATGAACATTCTCATTGTTAGAATGATAGAGTAAACTAAAGTCACACGCAATTCGACAAATTTAGGAATTCTAGAATTCTAGTTGAACGTCTGACAGATCAGATAGATCAGAGAAATGTGACGTTTGGTAGCAAATCGTTTCTAGGGCTGGGTAGTTACACCAAAGATGAATACCCCTGTTGAAAAAATAAGATTTTGTTGAAAACCCCTGTATTTTTAAATAATCTAAATAAAAAGAACTATATAAAAAGTTATTTAAATAACTTGTCTAGCAATTATATACTACATACATATGTATATGTATGTATGTATGTATATGATATACAACCTTTAGCCCCCACACACATAATTTAATTTAACAATACCTACACATTTTTTTCATTGTCTATTATTTATTTTAATTGTTTTTTCTTTATAATTTCTTTCATTGCAGCTTCAAAATTTTGTTTATTTACCCGTCATGTTTATATTTCTACGAAATGTACCAATTATTTCACTAAATGTACCAATTATTTCACTCAATGTATCTACAATAATGTGGATAATAAATTTTATTATATCTGCGTTACTGTATCGTTTTCGAAATTTTCGACGACCTTTAGCAAATGCCTATCTATCGTTTATCTTTGTAACCATACTGTGTGCAATTCTAATGGGAATTTTTGCAAATTCAATGAATAGTTTAACGGTAGGTAAATGATTATTTTATTAACCTTAAGAAACCAATATTATTACTTCAAAATTGCATCCATATATTCCTTATTGAACGACATTTTTTATTTGCCTTACACAGGTCCTCTTTCAACCGATTATATTAATAGTCCAGTTATTTGCCATTATTCTTTACAGCCTGCAGTCTAAGTTTAAATTGACTAATTTTCGAGCTTTTATAATTGTATTAATAGTTTATTTAGCATTTATTTTAGCAAATCTATTCATTTTTCATTATTCGACATTCTATAGTACGAGTACATTAAGTTTCACCATATCTATTTATATTATATTCGATACTCAATTGATGCTAACATCACCGCTACATAATTATCAATTGGCTGCGAATGAACATGTTTTTGGAGCGGTAAATTTATTTGCTGATCAGTCGAAATTGGGTTGGCTGTTATTCAGATGTTTCTTTTTGGACAGTACAATATCGTTTTGTAGGAATGCTTTTAAAACTATGACATCGAAGTTGTATTGAGTTGTTAGATTTTAAATATCTCTAAGTAAAATAATTTTAAATGTAATGAAAATAAATATTCTACAGCGTATTCTAATTCATTGGGTTTTAATCTATTGCTTTTGAGTCTATTTTTGAGCACCATCTGAATGTAAGCAAAGAATATTTAATACATAGAATGTGTGTCTCAATAGCCGGGTCGTAACACATAAGAATCTATGTTGTAAGTCAGCCATACAGTTTAAATACAAATGTTCAAAATCTCGTAGATTGAAAAAGGAGGAGCGCGAAGTCCTACCGTTTCACTTCTACCTCGCTAAACTCCCTTATCACTTCAAGAAGTGGAAGTAAGGAATATGCTTATGACTGCGTCATTATGAAGAAATTCACTACTTCCTACTGTTATTGCCACCATCGAAGTTTTGTGCAATACTCTTTACTACATGGATGAAATAAGTGAAATTTAATCTTGGCATCGATTACGAGTTGAAGCTCAAATTCCTATTGTGGATCACTCAAGGATTTCGAATATCACCTGTTTACTACCTCAGTTCATCACCACTTCAATTACGCACCAATAGGGAAGTAGAAACAAGTTTCTCAACTCTCTAGCCAGCAACAATATCTGTTAGCGATTGTCGAGGGAGTGAACCTAAAACCTAAATTCCTATTGTGGATCACTCAAGGATTTCGAATATCACCTGTTTACTACCTCAGTTCATCACCACTTCAATTACGCACCAATAGGGAAGTAGAACCAAGTTTCTCAATGCTCTAGCCATCAAAAATATCTGTTAGCGATTGTCGAGGGAGTGAAGTAAATAAACTTTAATCTTGGAATTGTAATCAATAGCACTCAAATTCTTAGTGTAAACCCAAGGTTTTGGGGGTCACCTGTTTAAAGACTGTTTACATCCTAAGATCATGCAACTTCGGTCAAGCAACAAGAAGACGAAGTGATTTACGTAAACACCTGTCGTATTGGCCTTATTTCACGGTAGTACTTTTACAACCACAGGGTGAGCTGATAAGCGGTTGCAATTTTTGTACATGGCTCTGCCGGTCCATGTATAAGCACTTTGCTCAAGTACTAGAGCTATCTATTCTCTGACCATTGCTGCCCTATTGCTTAACTTCCGAGATGCAAACACATCACTTAAGTTTACAACCTCATAGATAGGATGGCTTCTGCTGATTCGGCAACAGCACCTAAAGAAGTAATGGTTGACCGAAATATATATGTATCCATACAAAAAGACGAGGACTTGTTCTTACTCACAGAAAACACACTGTGGCAAATCTGGTATAAACATAGTAAACCCTGAAGTTACCCGGACAAGGAAAGAAAATTCAATGGTATAAGATATCTTACATCAATCACCGTTCAACCCAGAACACTTCTTATTCATTCGACACCCGTATCATATACACTTGACACCATCTCATTTCCAACGCTTAGTTCCACAGTCGCTACTCTATGGGTTATCTGTAGTATCGGCAACAGCACCGAACTTATCCAGAATTATAGAGTTCACCGCAAAAAAGTCTTTAAACCAATATTTTCTTCCCGCGAATTTGGGTTTAAAACACAGCCACCACCTGCACCCCCATGGAGCCTCATCAATAACCTGGACAACACAAAGTCCGAAACTCTGTCCTGTAGGCTATCGGTTCTCGTGGTATCGTGGTATTATATTGTTTTCTGGTTCGTCCCTAGGTAAAATTATTCAAAGGAAAGACCAAGGATACATTTGGTAATCAACATTTTATAGTCCCGGCGGACTAGAGGTATTGGTAGCACCTCTTTTTCCACCGGTTTGCAATAAGAGTGAGATATTAAGGTGAGATATTCGCACATTCGTGCTTTTAGGGCCATTTAATCCTTTAGGTCGTTCGTTAAAAGTGTAAAGGATATGCTAGTTCTTCAATTCCGACACCTTTCAAGAACGATCTTACTAAGCCGATTAATAAAGCTAAACCTTTCCAAAGTCATAGAAGTATGAAAAATTTTCATCTTATCAAATATTTAGAGTCCAACAATTTTAGCTTTCGTAGTTTAAGTTCTAAGGACGATTTATTAGCCTTCCTATCGGATAGATGGTGTATGTTATTCCATACACCATTATAGCGAATGTAAGTGATGGCTCTAGAAGTTTTATTAGCCGTCCTATATAATAGATGATGTAATTGTATTCATCATTTTGACGAAAGTATGTGATGGCTCTGGATATATCCAGGGCGTTCGATAGAGAGTTGCATGGTGCACTATCAACAACTTGCGATCACAACATGTTATTATTGCTAAATCTGACAACTTTTGATTCCTCTTAATAGCTATTAAAATGTTAAGCTTAAAGTTTAAGTGCTGATTGAATAAAAAAAGATATTTTCAATAAAACTAACGCGAAATAAACAATAATGGAAGGCAATTGAAATGTGTTGTCTTGAAATGGATCTAAAAATAACAGCAAGTCCTCAATTTACATAAATGAGAAAACTTTAATAGTTTTTACTTGCACATACAACGCATTTAATTTATTTATTAAAGCCAAACAGTCTGAGTATAAACAAAATAGTATTGAAAATAAAAAAATAAAGGAAAATTTCTATAAAAACAAAACAATAATTTCTTATGCAACAATAATAGATTGATGTCTGATAGGATAGAGCTCATGGTAATAGAGAGCACTACGGTAATAGAGTTTATGACGATAACAAATCAATAAAATGGTTTTTATGTAATTTCGTAAAAGTATAGAAAATGCGCCAAAGATATTTGATCATCGAGGTAAATAAATAATGACTTTGTCCATTAGTATCAAATAACCATGGAAAAATGTTTGAAGAATATAGTAAATGAATTTCAAACTACATATGTATTTCACTTTAATTTTACTAATGACTCCTGTTGAAATATTTTAACAAAAATTCCTTAGTCCTTTAGAAATTGGAGGTAATTTTTTAAGGTATATCAAAGGTATATTAAAAGTAAATCTGCAGTATATTGTCAAACTCGGACATTTTAGTTTAGCGCAATCATGATATGTAACTTAATATTTTAATGACTTACCTATAGGATCTATACATTCCAACGTTAGGGCACATTTTATCCATGGCAATAAGATTTTCTCCGTTACGAATACGGTATCAACAAACAGCACCGTATCCAAGTCGACCATTCTTAAAAAGAAAAAATCATCCGCATCCGTTTGAAAATAATCAAACATTTTCGGATGTGTACGCGTTGATACCGCAGTCGGTGTATTCCATCCCAGAACACCCGTTTCGGCTACCTTTGTTTGTAGATCGGAGAGATCACGACTAGAACCACGTATACGCATATAGTTTTCAGCAAAAAGTATAGATTTTGAACGCATTAATGCATCTTTTATCACAATTGGACGATATGCATGCATACGTTGATCGGCAACGTATGAGGGAAACACTGATAAATCATATGATATCACTGTGCATCTGGAGTTATTGCAATAAGCACTAAGGGCTCTTAAGTCGTCCTCCGATAGACCTAAGTCGTAGATGAGTAAGTATTCGTTTGGAAATTTAGAAGCGATATTCTGTGAAAGTAATATGGCTGAGGGAGCTTGACCCTCCTGAACATAAGTGACAATAGTGAAATTTGCTTTTGTGCCATTAAAGAATGGTGTTGTATGTACATGAGCCGTTTTCGAATGGAATTTATCAGCAGCATTATTGTTGCTGTTATCTGTTTCCTGTTCAAGAGGTAAATGTTGAATTTCTACTATATAGCCCTGACCATCTCTGGTTTCTGAAGTCTTTTGCGCGTTTGGATTTGTTTCATATTTATAGTACTGAGATTCGGAATTTTTTGTCGGATGTGATAACGACGATGATGAAGACAGTGATGAGGAGGATGTGGATGAGGTAAAACCCAAAATTGTTAAGTATTTTGGATCTATTTCTAGTTTCTTTTGTTCTGAAACACGTAAGTTTTCCTGAAAGAGAAATTGAATAAAAATAAAGTGTTATTTAATAGATTTAAAATATAAAATGTTCTATAACTATTATTAAAGGTTCTTATTGACAAAGTCTAGTATTAAAGAATATCGGAAGAGCACTCCTTTTTAGATCATCGGTACAAATGGTCCAAAATACTTCGGCCACCGTTAAATTCCATAAAAGTTAAAGAATATTTGGACAATGTTCGGGACCTTACTAAGGAACAGTCTTGGAATGAATAAGCCAAATGTGAACGAGAGGATATGTAGGAAAACATTAACTCCAAATGAACTCTCGCTTTCCAGTTCGTATAAACAAGGAGAAAGCGATACGTAGAGAAGGGAGGATATGAGAGAGATTGAGAATAGTTACAACCTGTATTGTGCAATAAAGAGTTAGAAGACGGCAAGGCTGGATGGTATATTCCCTACACTCTTAGGTTAGGCTGTTGAGGCTGTGCCGGTCTCGTTGTGATACAGTGAAGGGTATGGCGCCTCTACACAACCATAGGACAATACATGTCACACCAGTCATGGAGAGATCCACTGTGTCGTTCAATGTCGGACTATCCAAAGTAGCAGTTCTGATAGCCGAGAGGGTGAGACAATGTTAAAGGAAATGTTCTCCTCCTCGTCCTCATCATGGCAAGTTCTATAGATTCAGTCTTCTGCACACCTTTTTTTAGTGTCCTAACAGTATGGCTACTCTTAAAAGTCCCAACAAACTATGAGATCTGCTACCATCATAGATAGGCCAGGTCTGAATAGACGTTGAGCAAGTGGTCAGGAATGACCATCTGATTTGAGAAATCCCGAGAATTTCCTGCTGAATTATTGATTTACAGCAGAAAAGTGGAACACCAACAATTGTGTTAGCATCATCCAATATTTTTCCCAGGAACATTCGCATGTATCGTATTATTATTCCCAGGAACATTCGCATGTACCGTAGTTCTAGATTCGGAAGCTTCGCCATCTCGTCAGGAGACGCCCGACAGTAAGAGATTTCATGGCAGCCAATTGAATATCCTATATTAGCTCATCCACTTTGCCTCTCTTTTTATGGCTGAGATATCAACCTGAAATCTTACCCTTTTATTAAACATGGGAATATAGAATCCATCTCCCGTACGCTTTGCTGACTTGGGTCATTCAGTGTAGATATAGATCGATCCATTTACTTAATGAAATGAGTCAGTCATTATCAACACTGTGAAGCTCTTGCCAGGAAGGAGAGTGTAAGAACAGTAGTCAATTTTACTGACGCTATTGTAGATGTGAAATTAGTATTGATTCATTTGGGTAATCATGATTAACAGACCCTTAAGGACATTAACCAATGAATGATTTAAAACAGTCTGTTTCGCAGGCGAAGTCGTATGGGCAAGGATTCAAATTATTTATACAAAAGTGTCAAGAAAACCCTAAATACAGCATTCGGCTGGATTTTACTAAGACTTATATATATATATGTTCATGGACTGGACGATATCAGTAACCTAGGCGTAGTCCTTGACGGGACACATAAATAAAATACCACACAGACTATAAAACACTAAAGCATATCGATATTGAGCGCTATGTATGAAAACCATATGCTCGAAATGTAGTCTTAGTCCTCCTGCGGAAATCTGATGTTACACGGATGGATGGCTCTAAACTTGGATACAAAGTGTATGAGCATCTACATTGAAAACCGAATTATACTTCTTGTCTTGTACAATAACTTTAAAATAAAATATTCTTAAAAAACTTGTAAAAAGCATTTGAAATATTATAAAAAATTAAAACAAGAAACAAACGCATTACATATTATTAAAAAAATAATTAAAAAATAATTCACTTAACTTTTGTCAGCTGATTTCCTCAAATAGAAAGTAAGACAATTAAAATTAAGCCTTACAAAATCGCATTACTTTTAATACATTTTAGTTGTAAATGCTTCCCCAGAAACTACTTTAGATTGACATCTACATACACAGTTCATGCACATATGACAAAATTAACAATGTTTTTTATTAGATAATTTAATTACGGTTTTTAAATGTAAACCCTTTTAACTATCTAGAGGCAATAAAAAATAAAGTGATTAAAAAAATCCAAGTAAACAATTGCTATAATTGAAATGTACGATAAACAATTTTATAAAATTATAAAGGTTGTATGGATTTCTTACACATCTCGACGAATTGTAAACAAATTCTCGAGTAAGGTGACCAAATATTTTGTATTCTGACATTTAATCTCAGTGAAAAATTTAAAATTGCGGATTCATAAGAAACTGCAGATGTAACTTCTATCTGGAGTATAAACAGGTAGTGTCAAATGTATCCTTGGCTTTTCCTTGGAATAATTTGATCTGGGGTCAGTCCAGACAACCCAAATCAGGGCAGAACTTCGGACTAAATAATGAAAGAATTTGTCAGATAAATGAGAAGTATGCTGGGTTGAACGGTGATGGATGTAAGGTATCTTATACAAGAGACACCATTGAATTTCCCTTCCTTGTCAGGTTATGTTCAGGGTTTACTCTGTTCATACCAGACTTACCACAATGTGTTTTCTGTGAGTAAGAACTTATCTTTGGCTTATTTGATAGATTCGTATTTTGGTCTACCGATTACATCTCTAGGTACTGTTGTCGAATCCACAGAGACCTTTTCATTTGTGTCATTGTAAACGAATGTGATGTATCTTATACAAGTGACACCATTAAATTTTCCATCATTGTCTGGGTATGTTCAGGGTTTGTTTCTGTTCATACCAAACTTATCCGTATGTGTTTTCTGTGAGTAAGAACTTGTCTTTGGCCTATTTAATAAATTCGTATTTCATTCTAACGATTACGTCTCTAGCTGCTGTTGCCGAATACACAAAGACCATCTCATTTGCGTGGTTGTAAACGAAAATTATGATTTGGCATCTCGGAAGCTCTGTAGCTTTCGATGTTCAGAGAATGGAAAGATCAAGTATTCAAGCAAAGTGCTTTTACATGGACCGGGGGAACAATATACAAAAGTTGCTACTGACGAGTTCTTTGCAAGACACAAAGGGATGATAGTGAACCGCATCTGGTTCACTCTGTGGTTGAAAAAGAAAACTATGACTAAGCTGACAATCTTATTAAATTGCTAGTAAAGACTTCAGGAACACTTTTCACCACCTAGACGATGGAGACAAACCTAAATGTAGACGTTTTTGGAGTCCAAATACCGACTAAGAACCACTTAAAAATTTTGTCATCTTTGACAAAATGCATTTACGCACACATTGCGAAGTATAAACAAAGTATTTAAAGAGTTATCCGGCAGCATTTGGGGTACGGACAAAAAACCTTGTTGGCCTTTAAGTTTGGTCCCCTTCACTGTGTGATACCAATGAATATTTAATACATAGAATGTGCGTCTCATTCAAGATACATTTTCAAGAATACGTGTAAATTATAACAACCCGCACGTCGAGATATTCTTGTAATAAATATTCTTTGGTGATACCCAGTGGAGAAATATTCAAAGCTGCCAAAATGATGTAACGGGTTATATACAAGTATCAGTGCACGAGAAAATGAAAGTCCTCCCAGTCAAGGAACATCCTCCTGGGATGTTACCGGAAGAATCATCCCAACTTTAAAATCACAGAGTTAGATGTTAGATGAAGAACCCTTGAATCGTAATTCGTATACAGCAGCTTTGAATGGCTCTCATAAAGACCTCATCAATTCCCCGGTCTCAGTATACGCTATGAATTTTAATCTTGGAGGTCGCCCACTGACTATAGCAGAAATAAAGAAAAACCTGCCGTAGGAAAACAAGTTGCGTTGCTCTGACACAACTGAGATCGCGATGTAACAATATGCTCAAACCTTTTGGTTCCGCATAGAACTTCCCATTCCTAATATATGACCAACATGAACTAGATTAATACTTAAGACCGTAGTGGACTGTAAGAAAACCTTATTCCTGACAAAACGCCACGGTTTCCCACGTTGGCTTGAAGGAAATCCTCCAAGTAGACCTACATCTTCATATAGTAAGATGGAAACCTTTAACCAAGTAAAGATTGAATTTTAAATGTTACTCCACAAATAAAATTGAATAGTTTTATTGGTTTTAACAGGCTATAAAAGTGTCAAGTATTATATGTTCTCCTCCAGAATAGTTGAGTTTTAGTAGTCCCTATGAACGAAGTAAAACGACAGCACGAGGCTGATACAGATAATGTATGACAAGAAAGTTATTCACAGTAATGCATCACGCAAGTCTGATCTTCCGTACAAAGTTTATAGCGATAACTCAGACTCGAATTACAACTGTCTTCTAGCGGTAAGCTTAGCATCATATGGATACCAAACTGCTCGGAGATAACTTTTTAAACTTGCAGAAAAGGATTTATAACAGTATACACATTTCTAGATCTGGTCACCCAACAAGAATAAGAATTCTCAGCAAAGTTATTTAAAATCTATAAATTGCTAATATTGTCATAAATAATTAATATTCTATCTTTAACTTGCAAAAAAATAAAAAAAGTTAACAGCAATTTAAAATTTTACTAGACAAAATGGTTTTTATCTTACTTTACGTCATTAATGATCTTGTTAAAATTACACTTAAACATTTTAGTAATTGTAAAATAGTGTAATCTAAATGTATAAAAAAAACTTAATTACAAATGTCTGAGCATTTGTTTTTGAGAGTATCAAAATAATTACAGTTACGGCTAGTTAATTTTAATAAAAATATTTATATTTCAAGGTAAACAAATAAAATATTTTTCTGTTGTTTTATTAATTTTTTGTTTATTTTTTTAAAGATAAAATTTTCTATAGAAAATATTTTAAATTAAATGAATCACAACTACATTAAGCAAACATTTTGCCTCTAATATGTTTGTGTTTAATAAATAAGTTAATTTAAATTTAATGTTCATTTTTTCGTAGTTTATCATAATGCAAATTATTAATTAGGAAAGTAAATTAAAAATGTAGTACAGTTTACTGTATATTTATACCCTACACCAATTTAGTGGGGAGGGTATATTGGATTTGTGCTGATGTTTGTAACATACAAAAATATTCGTCCTAGACCCACCTTAAAGTATACCAATCGGCTTAGAATCGTTTTCTGAGTCGATTAAGCTATGTCCGTCCGTCCGTCCGTCTGACTGGCTGTCCATGAAAACCTTGTGCGCAAGGTACAGGTCGCAATTTTCAAGATAATTGGATGAAATTTGGCACGCACGTTTTTGGCACCTAAGGACGAAGCCTATTGAAAATAGTTAAAATCGGTCCATTATTTCACCTAGCCCCCATACAACAGAACCCCCCGAAAAGGGCTTCTGAGCTCATAATTATGTTAAATATACAGATATATCGATAAAATACGGCACAACTAAGTTTTATAGAAGTCTTAATGACCCTGCCAAATTTCATAAAGATCGGGCCACATTTGACCCTAGCTCCCATACAAAGTCCCCTTCAGAAAATTACTTGAATGTCCCAAATTAGCTTATAAACACAAATATCGCGATGAAATTCAGCACAATAAAATATTATGTCAATATAAATATATTCACAAAATTTTATCGGGCTTGGTCCATATTTGCCCCTAGCCCCCATATAAAGCCTCTTTCAGAAAATTAGTTTTTCATCCATAAATTGCTTAAATGTATCGGAACAAGGGAATATTGAAGATAAATGCTTTATTATGAAAAATAAATCACATTTAATATTCATAACTGGTGTAGGGTATCATATGGTCGGCCACGCCCGACTATAATTTCTTACTTGTTTTATATAGATTTAATGATTATTTTTTACTTTTAAATAAACTTATATAAACATCGACTGTATAAGGAAACCACAAAGTAATTTTATTTTATTTAAAATTATTTGATATGAGCGATTAATTATTGTTTGTAATAAAACAATTTTATTAAAATGGTCATATGGGAATTGCCCAGTGCATATTAATTGGAAAATAAAAATCTGATTTATTATTCAAGTTTGTGATAAATTTGAACGTTTTTAAGTTAATTAATAACAATTGCTATCACATTAAACAGTATATCGTGCAATAGTTGTCGCAATTAAAGATGTTTTCTCTATTTAAATTTCATAATATGACAAAATTTATTCTTATCTATTAAAATAAAACCATACGTATCTGTTGTTACGTACATATATTTACCTATAACATCTTATCTCGTGGAACCGGTAATATGTATTCATTTTACTATAACATACAGAAAGATTAGTCCAATTTTAATTATTTTGGAAACGGTAACAATGCCGTGCTATTACAGTGATCACATTTAAAAGGTGATTGTAATTTCGGTGGATTATGGTAAGAAATCGTTTCGAAACATTAAAAAGTTATTTAGAGCTATTTGGTTAACAGTATTTTAGCTGTAATGATAGAGAGCTGAAAGGGTCTTTTAAAAGTAAAAATGTCTTAAAAATGTGGGAAAATTAAAACTTTGGAAAAATTGTGTTTTTAGACCCGATAGTGCATTCTAATGGGTTAACTGTCAAAAGATCCGTCATACTACGTTATCTTTTTGACATTTATGATCAGTATAGCCTGCAAATCGTCATGAATAGACTAACGCTTGAACAACGCTAACAAATGACTAACCGCTCGTCAAGGCAACAATCAAACAGTCAAAATTGACGATGATCAATAATTTTTGGATGAAATGTGAATGACATTCATCAGAATGACGTTTCAAGTTATATGGCGACCGCAACTATCGAATTATTATAACTAGATTTCAAGAAATGAACTTGTTAATTGGCCTCTAAGCCATGAGATTTGATACCTCTCGTTTATATCATGTAGTGACACGTGAAGTCGTATTGATTTTATGTTGATAAATTGCAACCATTCACGCCTTGGAGGTCAATATCATAAGAGAAACAGTAACAATATAAATATATTGTTAAAGGGGTCCGTCAATCTGTCATTTGTGGCTTCGATTCCCAATAGAGACCCTGATTATAACTAGCTGTTTTCATACAGTGATAGTATATGATACGTCCTTGCTAATAAGTGCTTTAGTTCGTGGAAACGAAACATAAAGGTAGGAGTGGAGAGCAGAACAATAAGATAATTGTTGAAAGGCTAATCTAACTAAGCATATGTTTACGAGTCTAGATTTCATGGTAACACCACCAATACAGTTTCCAATTGGGAATTGTGTGCAGTTTTTTTAGGTGCAAGAAGAAATTCGGCACAGGAGCTGGAGTTTATTTAGTTGAATGTCATATTGTCTTTTAGATTCCCAAACATTCCCAAATCTTTCAAAGATTCTAGCGTACTGAAATACCGCAAACATAATTAGGACCCGCAGCGGGTCTAAATTGACAATTTATGTGGCAGTAATCAAAGATTTTAAATGTCAATTACAACGTTTTTAAGTGGCAAGATTAGATGGGGAACTTGGCAGCAGGAAAAAGGGGTAAATCATCCTATTTGCCACTACTACCAACTGATCTTCGAAAAATCCGCGTCTTTTGCAAGTAATCCTGGCATAGTAGGCAAGATATTCAAAGCTCTGTGGATTAAACTGCTCAAATGGCAACCAAATTCCTAAAAGTACCACAAACAGTAGATCAAGTGTCTTAGAATATAGTGTCCCATACAGATATGTCTAGGAAAATTATATTTTTTTCTTCTTTAATTATCTAATTTCTGGTTATTTTCCTTCTATCCTCTCTTTTGTTTTAAAGAAATTACATTGATGTTTTGGGTCTCTGAGAAAAACTGTTCCTAGATACATAAATAATACAACTTTTTTCTTTGAATCCGATATTTTTTATTAAATTTCGTTTAGATCTAGGCACTCCCAGTACTTAAAATAATACTCTATATAACTTTATCACACTAGGATCAATATTTCGATATGTTACAAACACAATGACAATGTCAATTACTTATTAATTCTAAAATAGAAGATATTCGACCTATTTAACACTTACCTGTAACTTATTCAATTGTTGATGTGTCTGTGAGACAATACTTTTTAATGAATCATTGGGTTCACCCGCTGTGCCCAGTACTATAAAGAGCAGAGTGGTTGCAACCACACAACACAGTATTACAATGAAATGTTTTGTTCGCATTGCTATGATACTTTTGTAATATTTACGTATTCGACGTGAATAAGTTGACGTTGTTAGCGGTGTCGTTGTAATGGCTGATGCTGCTGTTGATGTTGATGTTGATGATGATCTTGCAATTGTTGGTGTAGATGTTATAGACCAACGCTGCTGCTTATGTTGTTTTTGCTGTTGTTGTAGTGGCTTTGTGGGCTTTTGTTTGGCGTATTCCTTTAAACCCTCCACAATGAATTGATTTCTTTTAGAACAAATTTTATTTGAAATTTTTGCGTTTTTTTTTTTGTATAGAAATAAATACTTTATTTGCTAGTATTTGGTATGTTGTGTGTATTTGAATAAATATTTAAAATATTTGATTTTCTTTGTTGTTTTTGTTTATGAGTGTAAATAATTTTTTGTTTTTTGTTTTGCATTAATTTATCTAGTCATTGGCATATCAACAAAATGTGTTTGTTGTTGTTATTATTTATTTTTGTTGTTGTCAAATTTTGTTTACATTTACACTTGGCATTATTTCTTAAGTAGAGTGGATTTTTGTGTTGAATTTTTTTATTTATATTTTTTTTTTATTGTTTAATAATATTTTTGTGTCGTTCGTTCACTAGTTCAAGTTTGTTGTTGTTTTTATTTTTAGCGTATTTACGTTCAATGTTGAAGTTGCATATTATTTTCTACTGCATTTTGTAAACTGTTGTTAATCAGAAAAGTTTTCATGATGGGCGCAAGAGGTGGCTTATCAGTAACTGTCGTTAAAAGTCTAAAAGTAAAAGAAAAAAATAAATAAATAAACTAGCTTTTATTATTTGTTAGTATTATGTATGTAAACAGTTTTAAGTTTCCATATCATCATCGTATTCATAGTTTAAACAAATAAATTACATTTTTATAGTGCATTTGTATTATTATTTATCTAACATACATTATACTTGTACATATAAACGTTTTTGAACTAATATTGTGTTACTTTTATTATTGCATCACAAAATTTTATTTATTGGAGTTAATCTAGTGTACTTATAATTGATATGTGGTGAACAGTATAAATGCCTTGATAAACGTGTTAAATTTGAATAACTTGTGCAAATCACACAGGTTATTAATACAAAATGGCAACGTAAGTCCCGTTGAGTGTCCAGACAAGAAATAAATATTGAGTACAATAAGACCTTATTTCTTTCTTTTCATTTGGGAAAATTTTGAGTACGTACGTGCAAAATAATTTGTACAGAACAACATAGAAATTGTTTTCTATTTATACGCACCGACAACTAAACTAGAACTGAACTAGATCTGAACTAGAACTGAACTAGAACTGAACTAGAACTGAACTAGAACTGAACTAGAACTGAACTAGAACTGAACTAGAACTGAACTAGAACTGACTAGAACTAGAACTGAACTAGAACTGAACTAGAACTGAACTAGAACTGAACTAGAACTGAACTAGAACTGAACTAGAACTGAACTAGAACTGAACTAGAACTGAACTAGAACTGAACTAGAACTGAACTAGAACTGAACTAGAACTGAACTAGAACTGAACTAGAACTGAACTAGAACTGAACTAGAACTGAACTAGAACTGAACTAGAACTGAACTAGAACTGAACTAGAACTGAACTAGAACTGAACTAGAACTGAACTAGAACTGAACTAGAACTGAACTAGAACTGAACTAGAACTGAACTAGAACTGAACTAGAACTGAACTAGAACTGAACTAGAACTGAACTAGAACTGAACTAGAACTGAACTAGAACTGAACTAGAACTGAACTAGAACTGAACTAGAACTGAACTAGAACTGAACTAGAACTGAACTAGAACTGAACTAGAACTGAACTAGAACTGAACTAGAACTGAACTAGAACTGAATTAGAACTGAACTAGAACTGAACTAGAACTGAACTAGAACTGAACTATAACTAGAGGTTATATATTCTTTCCAGACAATTTTACTTTCTCGGTTAAATTTTAAAATATCTATTATATTATTATTAAGATAACAAATACTACATGACTTATTTATTACTTATTATTGCTTAAATTGTGACGAATAATGACATTTATTTATTTTATTTCAATTGATTAATTATGGCTACATTACAAAAAAATCAACAATTTACAATAAGTTCTGTAAAATATGGTATTCTATATCTTTTTATTAAAATTTTTAATGGTTAAAGTTGATTTTAATTTGCATACATAATTTAATAGATGAGATTGCCACTTGAAAGAAGAATAAATATGCTTTTTTATCTTATGAAAAACCTCATTAAAAATATTACCTTTAAGTCGGGAATATTAAAATTTTTCGAATCATTTGTATTTAGTTTTTAACACTTTTCTATAAAAGTATTTCAATATTTAACCATTTCAAAAATAAACATAAAAAAATATTTTCCCCTTGGCTCTTAAGTGTGCTAATTAAGAATAATTAACATTTGAATATACAAAAAATCATATTTTCTTCAAGATACATTTTAAATAGCATTAAAAAATTTGTACAGAAAAGTACAAATTAATAGCACTATAAGTTCAAGTCTGACAATATTTTTATGTGAAGAATGAGCTCATATAGCTATTATGGGTAAGTTTATACATTATATCTTCTATAACATCAAAGCGATAAATATGTAATTCTACAAAAAAAATTTAAATACCTACATGCTTTACCCCTTAACTGAACTGTAATGAACACTATCTATTTGGTTATAATTAACATCAAATGATAAAAATCTTGTATTTAGTCAAATGCTCCCTTTAAACGTTTATTTTACTTATTACGTTTCTCCCCAAAGAAAAAAACAATTTTTATATTATTTACACTTTAATAGCCTTATATTGTTTAATAAAAGTTATAATTAAGTTGTGAGTAATGGATTTTTTAATCATTTAAAATATTTTGTAAGTCAAGAAAAGCTATAAACACAATTAAAACAGCGATTTCGTCATTTGGACTAAGTATTTTTTCACATTAAGCTTAAATGCATAAATAAAAGGAATGTATTGTAAAATAATATTGAAGAATTATATTCATTACCCAATATCGATGATTTTTTAATGTATGTATGATATGGTACGGAATCGGTTTAAAAAACCAATACCTAACAATCAATAAAGAGTAATTGTGAAAGATACGTTAGTTTGTTTAGACCCTATCGTGATTTCAACACACAGACGGATGGATTTGTCTAGATTATCTTAGAATCGTAAAAGAATCCGGAATATACACCGTTATACATCTTTTTAAGTATGAATTACAAACGTCATATCTATCAGCACTGCTCAGTCCTCTAGAAAAGAATACTCTGGGTTTCGACTTTTTTTCAAGTTTTGTTGGACTGTGTAATTAAAGAGGGAAACACCTCAAATAAATAGTAGTTTAATTAAAATCAATCAAATATCTACATAGTTGTTGAAACGTTACCAACTATTGATAGGCAATTGAATAAAATATAAGAAAGTATGTATAGGAAAAATAAACCTCAATTGTAAACAATACTCTGCTGCTCCATATATTTCCTACAATCTCTAGTCGAATGAACGTACAATAGTATTAATAATTCAATCATAGTATCTATTACTCACTACAGCTACCGTTGACTGCATGGAAACATTTATTTACAACTAACCAACAACACAAAACTCACCTATTTAACCGCACAGAAATCCAATCATCAAAACTGCTTGGAGTATTATTATGATTATGGAGACCCTTTAAATTCATTGCCCTACAAACAACACGAGCAGCAGCAAAACAATCACGAAAAGGATATTAAATAATAAAACAACTTTAGGGTGGCAATTGTCCGTCTGAGAATATTTAGGAGTGAGCAGCCACATACAAGCCACAGCAGCAATTGCAATGCAACAGCAAATCGACAATAGTATAATTTAAATACACTTCACTTTTTTAAAATATTTTTAAAGGATTTTATTTATAATTTTGTTACGTTTATTTATTTTTTTACTATACTGCGATGTCGTATAAACTGTTTTTGAAAATTAACAAATTTACATAATTTTATCATCACAAGTTTACAATAATAAACACGAAACACACAACTCCCATGAATAATTAATTATTTTGATAAATTTGCATATGAGTGTGTAAATAAAAAAACGAGAGTATTAAATACTTTTATTTTTTTAATAACAAAAAAAAAACTAAATAATTCCAATATCAATCACAAACGCACAAACTTCTAGAGTCGCGGCGACTGATTTTTGATAGCGATACCGCAAATAAGAAGAAAACTGAAGAAGACAAGAAAATCACACACAGAAATAATAAAGAAAACAACAACAAAATATACAAGGAAAAAACTCGTTTCGTTTTTGGCAGACTGACTGCTTTTGATTTTTTGTATTTTGTTTTTTCTTTTAAGCAATTTGTTTTTTGCACTGCACTTTTATTTTCATTTACATTTATAGGTGTTTGATGTTTTTGTTCTTTTGTTCTTTTACCATCAAATTTGCTATTGAATATTTTAGTTATGAATATTTAAACACAAATAGAATATATTAACGTTTAATTAAAACACAAACGACAGCTGCAAATATATGAAGAAAATTTCCACTAAAAATTTTTTCTCAACTGAATTTTTGTTGTTAAATTTTTCTTTCCACCCGTTTTGACACTAACTAACAGAGTTGTAAAAATTGGGCTTCAAAGCTTTTAGTATATAATCTTTTAAAAGAAATAAAAAAAATAATAAAAACTAAGTTAAAAAATTAAAGAAAATGTTTAAACTGTTATTTAATAAATAATATTTTTGTTTTATTTATTTAAAATTTTATTTAAGTTTAAATACATAGTACTTTATTTAGTTAATACTACTTTTTCCAACACTTTATGCAAAAATTATTGAACAGCTGTTTTTTGCCTTTTCTCTTCATATCCAATTTCGTAGTTTCTCCGTTTATCCGTATACAAATTGTGTTTCTCTAGAAAAAAATAAATAGTTTTTCATTAAATGCAATTATTAAAAATTGCATTCAATAATTTTCAAATAAGTCGAATAATGTCTTTTTATGCTGTTGCAAAGGGTCGTAAAATTGGCATTTACAATACTTGGTAAGTTGGGAATTTTGTTTGTTTTTATGTGGTAAACCGGCTCGTCAAAGAAAATGTAAGCTAATCAAGACTACTAAATGTATATACATATGTCTTAAAATATTTAAGAAATGTTAAATATCAAAACAATAAAAAAGACTGAAATCCGTTGAAAGTTATCGTGTTATTTAAGTGTACATTACCCCTGCAAATTTGAGAACACTATTATCCCCTACACCACTGTAGTTGGCAAGGTATTATGCGTTTGTACTGATGTTTGTTACACCCATTTTAAAGTGTGTATACTAAACTCACTTTCTGGGTCGATTTAACAATATTTGTCTGTCTTTATGTTTACGTAAAGCTAGCTGATCCAATTCGATCCTAGCATCGAAAATATTTCGAACTTGGTTGAATGGAATGGCGCTATACCAATAATAAATTTGTTCATCAAATTTTTAATCATCAAATTTCATATCAGTTAGTCCTTTGGTAAATTATCTATTAAATTTTATTATCGGTAAACACCGAAGGCTATCAAAAGTAAGTAGGTTAGGTAGGATACCGGATACCGGATACCGTTATAGTCCATTGTGAATTACAAATAAGAAGTACAAATAAGAAACTAAAAATATGATAGAAGAAAGAAAATAGTCAGTAATAGATCAAGAAAGTTTAATGACAGAGGATTTAAAAATTCATTCCAACAGAGAGATAAGTTTTGCCCCGTAATCTATCAGATATCGTCCTGTAATAGTGATAAATTGCTGGCTCGATCCTTCTGTCACTTTCATTAGGTTGTCACTTTCATAAGGTCATGCATTATTTCATAATCAAAAAAGTCTCTTTAAATTCTTTTGTTAGTTAGTGCCGTTTGCGTTTTAGGTGACGATATGTAAATAAGATTTATATTAACTTAAATTCTCCATTTCGCAGGCCCGAATGTGAAGAACAAATAAAAGGTTATAGAGGATCCAGATATAAGAAATTTCCAACTCGTTCAGAAGCGGAAGAATTCATTGGGGCTTATCATGCCGAAGGTATTGACGTATTATACAAAGTTGATAGAAAAAAGAATAGACCTAAGAAAGAAGAGGATCCAAACGAATATTGGCCACCTTGTGATGGTGATGATTGTGAATTAACAGATGAAGATTTGGTAAAAGAAAATTAAAAATATTTATATTAACATATTTAACTTAACTTTATAATTATTATATAGTTAAATGCTTTAGCTGAAGTTGAAGGACTAGCCGATACTTCAGATAATCGCAAACGTAAAGCTGATAATTTTACTGGCAGTTCTTCAAGTAAAATACCTAGACATGAATCTGTTATATGGGAACCGGTTGCTATAAAACATATTGGCAATATGGAATTTCTTCTAGATTCGGAGGGCTACGTTATTGTCTATACAGATGGTTCGTGTTTTAATAATGGACAAAAGAATGCTTGTGCTGGCTATGGTGTATATTTTGGTGATAATCATGTTCTGTAAGAAATTTGTGATATTAATATTTAGTTTTTTAAAAAGTGTACATTTTCAATGCCCTTGTTGAAGTATTATTAATGAAGTTCTTAAACCCCAATTATAAAGTTGCAACAAACTCTGAATTTTACTTTTTTCAGAAATGCTGGCAAACCCGTAAATGGTCGCGTTACTAATAATGTTGGCGAAATTCAAGCAGCAATTTATGCCATTAAAACTGCCAAACGTTTGGGTATAACCAAACTATGCCTAAGCACTGACTCCCAATTTCTCATTAATTCCATTACACTGTGGATAAAAGGATGGAAAGCAAAGGATTGGCGTTTAAAAAATGGTGATCCTGTTAAAAACTTGACAGACTTTCTGGAATTGGATTCATTATTGGAAGATGATAAGATTCTAATAAAATGGGTAAATTTTAGTTGTCGATTTTAATTAGTTTTTTGCAATAAAATAAACGATTCCATTTTTTTTAAGAATTATGTCAAAGCACATAAAGGTATAAAGGGAAATGAAATGGCGGATAGATTGGCACGAGAAGGTTCAGAAATATATAGGCGAATGCATTTGAGATAGGTAATATGAGCGTATTTTATTTATTTAAATTAATTTTGGAAAACTGGAATATAAGAGCAACAAAATATACAAATCTTAAAATAAAACAAATGGCTATTGAAACTTAAAATTGAATATTTTTTTTTTAATATGTATACATTTTTTTTCATTGAACAAGTAAGAAAATCGTTCTGGAAGTGAATCCCGCATCCAATATATTTTGTGTATTCATAAGGCTATGATCAGTATTTTTTACAGAAAATGTTGTTTAGACATGTTTTTCCTCTGAAAAAATTTGTGTATAACAGTTTTTTTCTTTCGAAAAATTGTGTATAACTGTTAACAGTTATTTTCTTCGGAAGAAGTTGTGTCTTAACTGTTTTTATTTAGATTACAGTTATTAACAGTTTTTTTTTGGTAAAATTATGTACAACTGCTAACAGTTATTTTCTTTGGAAAAAATTGAGTATAACAGTTTTTCTTTGGTAAAATCATGTATAAAAGTTTTTTCCTTAAAAAGTTGTGTATAACAGTTTTCCTTTAGAAAAAAATTTGTATTGCAGTTTTTTTAGTAAAATTGTGTATAGCAGTTTTTAAGTAATATTTTTTCAATTTCTTTCTACAGAAAAAACTGTGTATGTCTGTCTAATTTATTGTAAAACTTTTTACTATATAGGTATTAAGCTTTTTTAAAACATCAAGAAAAATTTTCGGTATAACAGTGTTGTTTAATAGAAAATTTGATATATTAATGATTTTCCACATCAAAGTGTACGTAGTGTACCTCAATTGTTTTATTTAAATAAAGCAAACTAATATTCAACCGAATAAATTTCTTATAAAAATTCGACTTACTGCCGAATATTTTATTACAATAAAACTTCGGTATTTGTTTATTTCAGCGTTTTTTTTTTGCTTCCTCTTGACAACAATGGTAACAGCTGTCAGCACACATGTTTGAAAAATAAAAAACTTTTTTGTTTACAAAAAAAAGTCATTCTGTTTACCATAGAATATTATTTACATTTTTGTGTAATTAACTTAAATGTAGAAAAATTAAATTAAAATGAAAAGGATTTCTGTAGCTTTTTGTTTTCTTTTAACAATTGTGTCTACGCGACAACACAATGAAAACGATGTAATACAAACTCCCATTGTAGATGTGGAGTTAACCGAAGCCGGGTTTCATCGGTAAGTAAAGGAAGAATTCTTATTGGATGAATATCTGAAGTGTTTTTGATGAATTTGTAATCTATAGACATCTTATATATACTGTGCAATTCGATTATCCATTGGCGGGTAAGGAATGTGAATACGTTTAAAGCAGCATTTGCCGGCATCGGTGTATGTAAGTGTCGATCAACTGGATGACCT